ACCGTCCTCCCGCCCTCACTGTCCTCCCGCCCTCACCGCCCTCACCGTCCTCCCGCCCTCACCATCCTCCTGCCCTCACCGTCCTCCCGCCCTCACCATCCTCACCGCCCTCACCGCCCTTACCGTCCTCACCGCCCTCACTGCCCTCACCGCCCTTACCGTCCTCACCGCCCTTACCGTCCTCACCGCCCTCACCGCCCTCACCGTCCTCACCGTCCTCCCGCCCTCACCGTCCTCCCGCCCTCACCGTCCTCCCGCCCTCACCATCCTCCCGCCCTCACCGTCCTCCCGCCCTCACGGCCCTCATCATCCTCCTGCTCTCACCGTCCTCCCGCCCTCAGCGCCCTCACCTTCCTCCCACCCTCACTGCCCTCACCGTCCTCCCGCCCTCACCGTCCTCACCGCCCTCACCGTCCTCCCGCCCTCACCGTCCTCCCGCCCTCACCGTCCTCCCGCCCTCACCGCCCTCACCGCCCTCACCGTCCTCCCGCCCTCACCGTCCTCCCGCCCGCAGGCAGCGCAGGGACAGCGGCGGCGGTGGCGGCGTGCTGGAGGCTCAGGAGCGCTGGGAGCGGCTGTCGGACGGCGGGAAGAGCGGCGAGGAGCCTGCGGACAGCCCTCCGCAGCAGCCCTGTCCCCGGGGCCTCGCGCCACCGTCTGTCTTCGGTGACCAGCCCGACCTCACCTGCCTCATCGACACCAACTTCTCCATCCGGCCGTGGCTCTCGGAGCCCCCCCAGCCGGAGCCCCGGCACCGGGCCGGCTGTGGCCGCGCTCGGGACAACCCCGGCTACGACTTCAGCCGCCTGGTCCAGCGAGCGCACCAGCAGGAGGCGCTCGCCCCCGTCTGTACCCCGGCCCTGTGCCCTCCCTCCCCCGGGCCCGTGCTGCCCCTGGCCCCTGAGGACGAGGGGGGCTCTTCCCCCGAGAAGGGCGCCCCAGCCCTCGCCTGGGCCCCCAGTGCCGAGGGCTCCATCTGGAGCCTGGAGCTGCAGGGCAACCTCATCGTGGTGGGCAGGAGCAGCGGCCGGCTGGAGGTGGGCAGGGGGCTGGAGGGGGGCTGGGGGCTGGAGGAGGTGCAGGGTGCTGGAGGGATGCAGGGTGCTGGAGAGGGGCAGGAGACTGGGGGGGGGCAGGGTACTGGAGGGATGCAGGGTGCTGGAGAGGGGCAGGAGACTGGGGGGGGGCAGGGGCTGGAGGAGGTGCAGGGGACTGGACGGGGAGCAGGGTGCTGGAGGTGGGCAGGGGGCTGGAGGGGGGCTGGGGGCTGGAGGAGGTGCAGGGTGCTGGAGGGGGCCAGGAGACTGGAGGGGGAGCAGGGGGCTAGAGGGGGGCAGGAGACTGGAGGGGGGCAGGAGACTGGAGGGGGGCAGGAGTCTGGAGGGGGAGCAGGGTTCTGGAGGGGGAGCAGGGTGCTGGAGGGATGCAGGGTGCTGGAGGGATGCAGGGTGCTGGAGGGGGGCAGGAGACTGGAGGGGGGCAGGAGACTGGAGGGGGAGCAGGGTGCTGGAGGGGATGCAGGGGGCTAGAGGGGGCAGGGGGACAGGAGGGGGGCAGGGGGACAGGAGGGGGGCAGGGAGCTGGAGTGGGGCAGAGGTTTGGAGGCAGGCAGGGCTGTGGGCCCTCCGTCTGCAGCTGCTCATGGCCTGGGCCTGCAGGTGTGGGACGCTGTGGAGGGCACACTGCGCTGCAGCAGTGAGCACGTCTCCTCGGGAATCACTGCCCTCGTGTTCCTGGACAAAAGGTGAGCACAGGCTGCGCCTCGGCCCCCATCCTGGCCGTCCTGGCCCGGCTCTCCTCACTGGTGCCCCTGCACACCCTGCGGGCCCTGGGGCAGCAGCTCACCTCCCTGGAAGGGCGTTTGGCTAAGAGTCGGCGACACCAGTGGCCACCGGAAGAGATGCGGGGAGGCCCAGGTGGCGACCCCATGACCCTGCCTCAGCGCCTGCCTGTGACAAGGGACAGAGCACCCCCTGGGTGCAGGAGTTAGCCGTGTGGGTGACACCTGGGCGACCGTGGGAAAGGCGCCTTGGAGACCACGTGCGCTCCCGTGGCCGCCGGAGGTGAGGCCCATCCTCCTCCTCTCCCTTTTTTATTTTTTTTTAATATACTTTATTGATTTTTTACAGAGAGGAAGGGAGAGGGACAGAGAGCTAGAAACGTCGATGACAAAAACATCGACCAGCTGCCCCTTGCACACCCCCCACCAGGGATGTGCCTGCAACCAAAGTACATGCCCTTGACCGGAATCGAACCCGGGACCTTTCAGTCTGCAGGCCGAGGCTCTACCACTGGGCCAAACCGGCTTCGGCCTCCTTTCCCTTCTGAGGTCCAAAGTCTCTGGCTGCGTTTTCAGTTCCAGAAAAATGTACTTTCCAGAGTCTTGTTTAAACTTTCCTTTCCCATTGTTGCTGGCCTGTTCCTGCCTCCTGGCTCCGCACACTCCCGGGGACTGGGACTGGGGACAGCCCTCAGCCCTCCAGTCCTCCTGCTGCTTCCCCGCCGGCCCCCGCCTGCCCACCAGGCCCTGCCTACCCCGCTGGGTCCTGCCTACCCGGGCCCTGAGCCTGTGGCCCTGTCCGAGCTGCAGCTGGAGCAGGAGAGGAACCTCTTGCCTTCAGCTCTGATTTCTGCGGCCGCCGCCATTCCAGCAGCCCCCGGCCCCGGCCACCGTCCTCCCTCCAGCTTGTCCCTCCAGCCCTGGACATCCTTCCCTGCGGATCCCTGTGCTCTAGGGAAAGCCCGCGTGCCTCCACCCACCTCCAGAGTGCCTGGCGGCCATGCTCTCCTCGCCCCCCTCCCTGCCCCACTCTGCACACTCACCCCACAGGCAGAGGCTGGAGACACGCATGCTTTTCGCTGTGGGAGTGAACTTTGACCGCTGCACACTTCCAGGCTTTGGGACCCACGTGTGCCTGGGATCTGAAGGAAATCCCGGTTTCTTTGTGGGAAAATAAAGGGGGGCGGGTGCTTCAAAGCAGCTTCTGTGCGGCTCCTGCAGCTCCCGCCACGCAGCCCTCCGCTCTCTCCCACAACTCGCCGTGTCACCCAACGGCTAACTCCTTTCCTGAGGACGCCCGGGGGGCGGTGCTGTTCCCGCTTCACAGATGAGGGCTGAGGCAGGGTCGTGGGTTGCCACCTGGGCCTCCCGCCTCTCCCAGCACCTGTGCTTCCCTCCCGGCGTGGCCCCTCCTGCCTCCCAGCGGAGCTGAGCCTTCAGTCTGCTGCGCAGTCCCAAGGCCGGGGCTCGGAGCCACCTGGCGTGCTTTCCTTCCAGGATTGTGGCTGCCCGGCTCAACGGTTCCCTCGACTTCTTCTCCCTGGAGACGCACGCTGCCTTCAGCCCCCTGCAGTTCCGCGGTCCGTGGCCTGGCCTGGGCAGGTGGTGGGTGGGCGGGTGCTGCGTGCGATGGGTGGGTGGGCTGACCCTCTGCTGGCCTGTTGTCTCAGGGCAGGGCGGCTCCCCCGCCGCCCCGGTGTACAGCAGCAGTGACAGGGTGGCCTGCCGCCTGACCCACACCGTGCCCTGTGCGCACCAGAAGCCCATCACGGCCCTGAAGGCCGCTGCCGGGCGCCTCGTGACCGGGAGCCAGGACCACACTCTGAGGGTGAGTGTGGGCCGTGTCCCGGCGCTGGCGGGGCGGAGCGCGGGGCGTGGTGTTTGGGGGCCGGAGAGGCTCAGGTGCCTCCATGTGCTGTGGGAGGGGTTTCCGGGTCAAAGCCACCAGCCCGATGCACACTGCCAGGTGTTCCGTCTGGAGGACTCGTGCTGCCTCTTCACGCTGCAGGGCCACTCGGGGGCCATCACAGCTGTGTACATAGACCAGGTGAGGACGAGGCGGGGTGCGGGAAGTGGCGTGGGCGGCCCCCTGGGCCTGGGACCCCAACACCCAGCTCCCGGCTCGCTCCCCTAGACCATGGTGCTGGCCAGCGGAGGACAGGACGGGGCCATCTGCCTGTGGGACGTGCTGACCGGCAGCCGGGTCAGCCACATGTTCGCCCACCGTGGCGACGTCACCTCCCTCACCTGCTCCGCCTCCTGCGTCATCAGCAGCGGCCTGGACGACCTCATCTGCATCTGGGACCGCAGCACAGGCATCAAGCTCTACTCCATCCAGCAGGTAGGCGGGGCCCCGCGTGGCTCGCTGAGGCTCAGGGAGGGAGGGGCTCCTGACGCTGAGCCAGTCCTGTCCTTGCCTCCAGGACCTGGGCTGTGGGGCCAGCCTGGGGGTCATCTCAGACAGCCTCCTGGTGACCGGCGGCCAGGGCTGCGTCTCCTTCTGGGACCTGAACTACGGGGATCTGCTGCAGACCGTCTACCTAGGCAAGAACAGCGAGGCCCAGCCCGCCCGCCAGATCCTGGTGCTGGAGAACGCCGCCGTCGTCTGCAACTTCGGCAGCGAGCTCAGCCTGGTATACGTGCCCTCCGTGCTGGAGAAGCTGGACTGAGGGGCCGGGCGGGGTCGAGGGGCTCTGGGGAGCCAACGCCCTGGACCGAGTCGGGTGTAACTGCCTGAGCTGTCCTGCCTCAGGACGGGAACATTAAACTTTGTACAAAACCACACCCGCTGGGGCTTGTGAGCCGTGTGCTTCCTCCATGAGACCCCTCTTCCCCGCCCCCCTCCAGCTCAGCGGCTCCAGGCAGGAGCCATACAAGGAGCAGAAGGGACAGTCATGGGGGTGGAGGGGCTCCAGAGCCCTCCCGAGGTGGCTCCCAGCTCACCCACCACCCACCCAAGGCCACGGACGGTGTCAGCAAGGGGCAGACACTGGCCACAGACAGGTTGGTTTATTAAGTAGCAAAGAGATGGAAAAACAGGTCCTAAGGCCGGCGACACGTGTGCACCCCATAGGGGCGCGGGCTAGACCAGGAAGGGCCAAAGGCAGCAAGAACAGGAGGAAGAGGCGGGCCACCTCACGAGGCCCTGCTGGGCAGACGGGCAGACGGGCAGGCGGCGGGCGAGACGATGTAGTGTGAGGACAGGGAGGGCGGAGCCTGCTCAGGTCTTGTTGAGTGTCCAGAGTGGGTCCAGGAGGCTGAGGGGGTCGTCGGTGGGCTGGGCAGCCCGCAGCCCCTGCCCGTTGTGGGCGTGCAGGAAGTTCTGCTTGCTCATCCGCTGCTTTCCCCGCAAGGAGCTGTCCAGGGAGAAGGCCTCAGGGGTGAGGGAGGCCAGCAGCTCCAGTGAGGAGGAGGAGGGCCCCAGGCTCGGGACCTCAGGGACGGGCTGTTCCTCCTCGGGCTGGGGTGTCTCAGGCAGGGGTGAAGGGAGGGGGGGTGGCGAGGAGGAGGGGAGCTGGGTGGACTCTGGAAGACTGGCTGGCGGCAGGCCTGGGGGCTCCACAGGGCCCGGCGGGCAGGCACCTGGGGGATCCAGGCCCCCAGCAGGCCGGATGCTGAGCTTGGCGATGGTGGCCTGGATGGAGCTGATGGGCACGTCCCCGCCGAGGACCAGGTCCTGGGAGTCCTGAGGGAGGTGGTTCTGAAAGGAGGGGCGGGTGAGGACGGGCTCCAGGCTGTGCGGTCCCTGTCCCAGCAGGGGTTCTTGCCTCACCTTCTGGCCGACGCCTGTGCCGGTCAGGGGCCTGCAGGGCGGGGGCACGCCATGGCGCTGCAGGACCTGCTCCACGTGTCTCACCACCGCCTCGTGGCAGAACCGGAGGTGCAGCTGCAGAGCACAGGCCTGGTCAGCGGGGCCGGCCCTCAGGGCGGACAGAGCCTGTCCCGCGCCCGAGCCTCACCTTCTCCTGCAGCATGTGCTTCCTCTGCTGCCGCATGCGCCGCACCAGCTGGGGCAGCGCGGGCAGCCCGTGGCCCGCCTCCACCTCCTGCACAGCCGCGTAGAGCAGCGCGAAGGCCCCCGTGCGGCCCACCCCGGAGCTGCAGTGCACGACGATGGGCGTGTGCAGGGGCCGCTGGTGCAGGCAGTGGGCGTGCACCTCCTGGATGAAGCGCAGCAGGTTGCTGGGGCTGTCGGGGAGGCCTCTGCGGGGAGAGGGAGGGGAGGGCCAGTCACCCAACGGAGGCCTCGCCACCCTCGGAGCTCCCACCCTCCGAGCCCCCACCCCCGGCGGCAGACGCACAGCTCGGGCCAGGTGGGGAAGTGCAGGTGCACGAGGGAACGCTTGAGGCTCTGGTCCCGGAACTGCAGGCTCAGCACCCGCTCCACGTGGGTCTCAGTCGTGCGGACGCTGCTCAGCGCCAGGCTCAGGGCACCGTGCACCATGGGCTGGCCCCTCTCGGTGGGGAAGTAGCGTGCCACCTTTTGCTGAGGGGCAAAGAGGGCGGTTAGCTAGCGATGCCTTTCCAGGACCCCTGCTGGGCACCCCCCACGGCTCCTCACCTTCTCCATCTCCGCCTCCGACACCAGCATGACGATGACCGACACTTTCTGCTCATGCACCATGAGCCAGAAGTCGGCCGCCGTGCCGGGCAGTGGGGCCTGGGTGGCCACCAGGGGCGGGCAATACGGGGAGAGCCCCTCCACGCGGCTGGCGTTGATGTAGTCGTCCTTGCCCGAGCGCAGCACCACGCGGTTGCTGTCGTAGGGCATGATGTCCTGGTGCCGGTTCTTCAGCGAGTAGCAGCGGGCGATGGCGATGGAGCGGCCGCGGGCGTCCTGTTCCTGCGCGTCCTGCAGCTCCCGCCACACCGCGTCCAGGGCCCCAGCGTCGCCCAGCTGGCCCCGAAAGGCCTCCAGCTCCTGCTGCAACTGCTGCAGCCTCTCGGGACGCTCGTAGGGGTCCCGCTCTATCAGCCGCAGGGCCTGTGGCCGCCGGCCCTCGGCCGCGTCCACCTTGGTCGGCTGCAGCAGGGGCTGCCCGCCCCCGGGAGGCTGGGTGCCGCCGTGCTGGCTCTCGGGGCTGGAGGAGAGCAGGTCTGCGGCCACAGGGCCCCGGCGCGGGCATGGGGGCGGCTCTGCGGCAGGGGGCCGAGCAGGTACCGGGCCAGGCCCTGGGGAAGGGGCAGGTGAAGGCACCAGGTGGGGGCTAGGGGCGGCCTGGCTGGCAGGTGAGGGGCCTTGAATGGAGAGAGGAGCTGCCTGGGGGCCCAGGGGCCGAGGGGAAGGGGCAGGACCATAGGCCAGAGCGGGATGAGGCGGCTGAGGGGGCCCAGGGCTGGAGAAAGGCAGAGCCCCCGAGTGAGGGGGCAGGGGGTCCTGAGAGGGGGCTGGGTAGAGCTGGGAGTGTAGAGGTGGTGGGGGCTGCCCCAGGACACCAGGCTGAGGGGCAAAGGGGTAGGGGGGCGGGGGAGTCATGAGCCCTGGAGCCTGGGATGGGAAGAGGTGGGGGTGCTGGAGGGGCAGGGGCTGCTGGGGGAGCTGCTGGGGGAGCTGCTGGGGGGGCTGCTGAGGGAGCTGCTGAGGGAGCTGCTGAGGGAGCTGCTGAGGGAGCTGCTGGGGGGGCTGGGGCCCAAAGGCCGCCCGTGTGGGATGAAGCTGGGGCTGGGGCCCTATCCTCGGGGCTGGAAACCCCGTGGGGATTGCGGGAGGAAAGTGGTGCTGGGATGGGGGTGCTGTGAGGGGCTGCTTAGGCCCCAGGGGATAGGTGTAGGGCATGGACAGTGGCTGGGGTGGGGGTACTGGGAAGCAGGGTTGGGGAGGAGCAGGGGTGAGGCTTGGCTGGGGTGCTGTGTGGCTGGAGATGGGCGCCTGGACACTGTCTACTGTGGTGGTGGCTGGCCGGACCCCCATGGCCAACTCAGGGCCCGAGAACTGGGGAGGGGGGGCGGAGGGCAGGCCGGCAGCCGGGGGGTGTGGGCCCACGGCCCCATAGGGAGCGACCACCACGCCGTGCTGAGGGGAGGAGCGGGGCACGAGGCCCAGCTCCGGGGGGTAGACGGGCGCCCCGTAGACCGCGGGCCCAGGCGCCATGGCCATCGCAGGGGGGCCTGGGGTCTGGGGGCCCCTGGGCTGCATCACCTGGGGGGGGCCCGAGTAGCTGCCTGGGGGCAAGGGGCCCGAGAGATAGTGGGGTCCCGGGCCCCCCGAGCTGGGGAAGGGGCCCAGAGCGAAGCGGAGCGCGGCGGCAGCTCCCAGGAAGGCGTCGGGCAGGCTGCGCAGCTCCTCGGGCGGGTCCCCCATGTCGCCAGCCTCGCCCTCCTCCCTGCGGGGCAGCAGCGGCTTGGGGGCTGTGGGCCGTGGGGGTGGCTTCTTCTTCAGCTCCCTGCGGGACGAGGCAAGAAGGAACCAGCCCTAGGAGCCCAGCCAGGGCCTGGCCGCAGCGCCGTGGTGCCGGGGCCGCACCCACCTGTCCAGGAGCTGCTGGCGGGCAGCCTCGCGGGCCTGGCAGGCGGCCTGGGCCCGCTGCAGGAGGGCCGCCGCCTTGCTCTCGAGGTCCGCGTAGAAGCCCCTGCCCTCCTGGGACTTCTTCATCAGGTCCTCGTAGGCTTCGCACGAGGCCACCAGGCTCTGCAGCGTGGACTTCCACCTGCAGGCAGAGGGCGGCGGCGGTGAGCGCTGGAGCCACCCAGGGCGGGCTCGGGGCAGGAGCGCAGGGCCGGGCACTGACTTCTGGTCCAGCTCGCCGAGCGCCCGGCGCACGGCCGCGTACTGCGCGTTGGCCTCGGTCAGCGCGCGGAGGACGTTGTCCTGGGCGGCCAGGTTCTGCTCCAGGTACACCCTCAGCTGGTCGTACTTCTTCAGCTGCTCCTCGAACAGCTTCTGAGGGCGTTGGGGTGAGGACAGACACTCAAGGCTTTGCACCTCAGGGTGGACCCCAAGCCAGGGCGCCGCCGCCTGCTCCCCGCACCTTCATCTCGGAGTGGTCCGTGGTCACCAGCGAGGCGGTGATGTCGTCCTTCTGGATGAGCTCACGCAGCTGCTGCTCCAGGGACACACGCTGGTCCCGCATCTCCTGCACCTTGGCCAGGATGCGCTTCAGGGTCTGCAGCACGGCCTGGTCCTCTGGGGGCAGAGGGGTCAGTGAGGCCAGAGACGCTCCAGCTGTCTCCGCCACGGCAGGGAGGGGGGCTCACCTGGGGTGAGGGCCGGGGTGGGCAGGGCGGCCCGGACCTGGTCCAGTGGCCCACTGAGCAGGCGGAGGTTGCCCACGTGCAAGTTCATGGCGCGGTGCAGCTCGCTGTTGGTGAAGGAGGCCTTCTCGTGGACCTCCTTGTACTTGGCCCATTCTCGCCTCACCTCGGCCAGCTCCGTCTTGGAAACGGCCACGCTGGCCCCTGCCTGGCCCACTGCCTCCTGCCACTTCTGCTCCAGCAGCTCATCCTCCTCCAGCAGGTCCTGGATGTCCTTCAGCGAGGCCTCCACGTCCGTGAACACACCGGACAGCACTGAGGGTGTGGTGGGAGGGGGACAGCTTCTGAGGCAGGCAGACCAGGCACCACCTGGGCCTGTGCCCAGGAGACAGCACTTCCCTCAGTCAAGGCTTGGGTGCAGCCCGATGCGTGCTGAGCGAGCACCCAGGTGTGGGCGGGGGGCAAGGGAAAGGCCGCAGGAGATGACATCCCTCCCTCACCTGCCCCCCGCCCCACCTTGCATGGACTGGACGAGGTTCCGGACAGTGTCGGGCCGGACGCTGAGGGCTGCACACTTCTCCATGAGCTGGGGCGGGATGTGGTTGTACGTGTCCAGGTTGTCCACAGTCTCGGGGTCCAGCTGCATTGAATCCATGAACTGGCTGTGGGGACACCAGGTGGGGGATAGGTGCTGACCCAAGTCCCCATATGTACAGGGAGTGCACTAGGGTGAGTCCCCTCACAACTGAAGACAGGTCTGAGGCCCTAGCAAAGAGCAGACCAGCACCCTGACCTCACCCCAAGGCCTGGCCTGGCCTCCAGGGTGTGCCCACTGCACTGCGCACAGCACTGGGACAGAATGGACACCCCCTAAGACTCGGGCTCTCGCCTAGGTGGTAAATCTAGTAAGATCTTGGGGGGAGGGGGGAAACAGAGCGGGGGAACATCTCGCTACTACGTCACCTAATGCAGGCAGCACAGGGGCCCACCCAGGTCTGGGTGACCCCCAGGCCTCCAGCCAGCCCCACACTTACTCCAGGACCTCATTCTTGTCCTCAATCTTGGCCATGATCTCTCGAAGCAGCTTGGCCTTCTCCTCACTGCAGAAGTGACAGAGCAGAGGCTGGAAGCCTGTCTCTTGAGACATCCCACTCCCCTCAGTGCCGAGGGCACCCCCCCACCTGTACAGTGACGAGGCTTCATGGGCAGCCATCGGGACCAGCTTGGCGAAGATGTCAGGGCCCGTGACGGCTGGGTCCGTGGGGTTCACTGGCAAGGGCTTCACCAAAGGGGCACCTGGGAGAGAGACGTTGTGGATACCAGGCCATGCAGACCACGTCTGTTCTAGGCCCCTGTACCTCCGCCCTGACCCCGCCTCCCCCAGCGTCAGACCTTTCACAGGCTGAAGGGTGTCCAGGGCCGGGACAGCCTCGTGGTAGATGAAGTCATTGTCCTTCTTGGCAGAATTGTACCTGGGGGTCCGGGAAGGGAGGGGGAGTCTTAGTCGAGCAGCAGGCACAGGAGCTGGCCTCTATGGGGCCACGGCCCTCTCCCTCCCAAGGGTGCAGGCAGAGGGCCCACACCCTTCCTCATGAGGATGACCAGGCCACCCCCAGCCCCACAGACTCACTTTCCTCCAATGACGTCCATAGCAAAGCGAAGTGCATCCTGCACTGTGTCAGGCTGGCCCTGAGGGCAGGGGTGGGCTCAGCATCACTAGGGCCGTGCCAGCACCCCGCCCGCAGGCCTGCTCCCTCTGCCCGGGGCCCGGGGCAGCTCTACCTTGGCCAGCTTGATGGCTTCACTGAGCTTGTCCAGGGCGCTCTGGAAGTATGCGACCTGTGGGGACAGTGGGCAGAGCCGTTGGTCCTTCCCTGCTTGGAGTCTCCGCCTCCTGCCCCCAACGGCCCTGCCTGGCCATCCATGACCCACTAGGAGGCAAGAGAGCGGGTGCCAGGAGCCCCTCCGCGGGAGCCTGCTGTGCCTCCTCGGCTCCAGGGATGGGGTGCCAGAGGGGACACCTCCCAGAGGGCTGCAGCAGGCTTGTTCAGGGACGAGGAGGTGAGAGGCAGAGAGAACACTCCCTGTTTTGCAGGGAAGGGACCCCCGGCATCTCACTAACAAGGCTGGAGCCAGTCCTGAGTGCTGTCCTCACACTCACTCACCTGCTCCCCGAACTTCTGCTGCTCCTCAGCCTGCTTCCCCATGTGCAGCTGGGAGAAAAGAGACACGGCTACTTAGTTCCCAGGCCGGGCACTCGGCCCAGCCCCGAGCCAGAGGCGCGGGGCCCTCACATGAGCCACAGCCGCGAAGTAGTAGATCTTCATCTGCACCAGCTTCTTCCAGTCCTTCTGGATCCGGCCCAGCAGCGAGGCGGTGTCAGGGCTCTCCAGGGCCCGGCAGGCCTCCTTGTAGTAATCCACCACCTGGGGGCCCGAGGGCCGTCAGGGGCGAGGGGCCGTCAGGGGGCGAGGGCCGTCGGGGTTGAGGGCCGTCGGGGGTGTGGGCAGGGCACCCGGCCGTCGGGGGCGTGGGCAGGGCACCCGGCCTGCCCCGGGCAATCCCCCCCCTACCTGGGCGCTGATGCGGGCCACCAGGAAGCTCTTCCTGTTGTCCAGCATCGACTTCTCCAGAAGGCACTCCTGCGCCTGGCCCTGGGGTAAGTGGTCAGGTCCACTCCCTGGTGCACCGAGGCCTTGCCCTCCCGAGGACAGACCACAGGGACCCTCCACACCCTCTCCTCCGGCTCCCAGCCTGCTCCCGACCCACCAGGCCTCGCAGACCAGAGCCAAGGCCTGCACTGCCTTCTGCTGGCCTGTCCACGGTCCAGCCCTAAGTGTCCCCTCCCTGGATCCAGCTCCATTCCCACCAGGGTGCTTCCCTACCAGCATGAGGTTGACGTTGAGAGTGAGGATTTGGCGACTCATGTCGACGCTGTAGGCGTGGGGGAAGTGCTCCCGCAGGTGGGCGAAGGCGCCTGCTGCGCACTGGAAGTGCGTGCAGGAGACCTTCATGCCCTGGGGGGGGGGGGGGGGTAGCCGGGCAGAACCAGATCAGGGGTCTGAGGACACTCAGCAGCCCTCCCTGTTACATCCGATGTCCGGTCCACTGCCCGGCCCTCCCCGCTCACCTCTTCAGACACCCGCTTGTCCATGGCTCCCAGCATGGAGTGCAGTGCACCTGGGGAGGCAGAGGGCACAGTGTCAGTCTGGGAGTGCGCCCCACACTTGCTAACAGTAAGGCAAAAGGCACAGGGTTGTCACCCTGAGCAGGAAAACGGGGGTTTGAACTGGGGCAGTGTGTCCATGGATATCAAAGCTGAGCAAATGGGGAAACTCAGGCATCTGGCCAAGCCTCCCGTCTCCTGCTCTGCAGCATGCAGGGGTGCAGTGGGCGAAGGAGGGGTTCCTGGGTAGACTCTAGCCTAGAAGTCCAGTCTGGAAGCTTCTCCCTGGAGCCCAGCTGGGGCTGAGTCATCAGGTGGAGAGCAGAGCCGGCTGAGCCCGACCTTGTTTGCCTTCTGCCTGACGCAGCCCAAAGCCAAAGGGGGTCAGGCCGTCCGGCAGAGGCCATCGCGGCCATCCCTCCGGCGGAGCCCAGCGGCAGCAGCCCCACACAGCCCCTGCCAGCAGGTGGCGCCCTGCCGCCCAGAAAGAGGGCTGGTGGAGATGGGGAGGCAGAGGAGAGTCTTCTCTGCATGGCCCAGGGCCCGTCGCCTGTGCGGGCGGGCAGGAGGCAGCTCACCCAGGTTGTAGAGGATGCAGGCCTGCTCGTACTGGATGTCCTCGTGCGCCACAGACTTGCCTGAGAAGATCTCAGTCCTGCAGACATGGCCCCTGGTCACCTGAGGGCAGGTGAGGGCCCAGCCACGGGCGCCCCCCCCAGGGTTTGAGGGAGGCCCCTTCTGCAGCAGGAGAAGGGGGGAGGGCACCCGGCACCCAGCCCTCGCGCTCACCAGGTGACAGGCACGGCGGCCTCCTGGCCCGCGCCCATGGGGACCCGGCTCTGCAGGTAGTGGAGCTGGCCCAGGTACTTGCGGAGGACGCTGCAGCCCTCGAAGTCCCGTGGGACCCGGACGGCGTTCTGCGGGCGGATGGGAAAAGCAGGCCGCCATCGCTCTGGGCAGAGGACAGGCTGGGCGCCTGCTCCCGGACGCCCAGGAAATGTCAGAGCTGGACGCTGCCCACCCAGGGCTAGAAAAGCCCACTGCTGTGCCCATGGCATCCACCCAACACACCGTCCTGCCGGCCAGAGTGGTGGCAGAACCAGCCCCACCGTCTGAAAGGCTGTTTGCAACCGGCACCAACATTCTGAAATACTCAGAATGAGACCCACACAGAGAAATCCAGAGAGCAGGCTGGACAGCAGGCCCAGCATGTTAACAGGTCAAACTGAGCACCGTCGACACGCCCATCAAAGAGGCTGCTTAATAAAACGGAGCGGATGCAGACACAGCACAAGACGGATGGCTGCGGGGCGGGGCGTGGGGGACTGAAGTACAGTGTAAGGATATAGTCAATAAGATAGAAATAACTATGTATACATTAGCGGTGTCAGGCGGGTACTGGGAATGCTTTATAAAGTATATGATTATCAAACCATTATACTGTACACCTGAAACTAATACAAAACATTGAATGTAAACTGTAACAGAATAATATAAAGCAGCTGCTGGTAGGTGGAGGAAAAAGAGAATTATGTCAAGGCTACCCACACAAGAGAATGCTCCTCAGCCAGAAAAACGGAAGATATGTTAAAATGTCCAGAACATCTGTGTCATTGGGGGGAAAGTACATAAAGATGATTTCACTAATGTAACAGATGGAGACACTGATATTCAACTACATTATATAGACAAAGATAAAGATCTATACGGGGGGAAAAGAGGGGCAACAGTAAGATATGGACACATATAATACCTTAAAAAAGCGGGAAAAAATCTATATGGTTACATATGGAAATGTTAAGTGACTATCCCTGAGCAATAAGGTTTAACTTTCTTATTCTATACACAGCAGATAAACGTAAAGATATACTTAATTCTTTATGTACTTATAGTGAACATTTTCAACTTTTTATAATAAGCAATAAAGATATTTCTATTTTCAGAAGAAAAATAAACAGCAGAGCAGACAGTACACCCTCTGAGACGCAGCTGCACACAGGGAGGCGCCCGCTGGGCATGCCCTCACGCCTGCCTGTGTGCGAGGACCGCACCCCCCCATGTCCCAGAACTGAGGGCCCACTGGCGAGAACTCCTCCAGGACCCCGCACACCAATCCCGTTCACACCTCATACAAATACTCTCCTCCTACCTGTCGGAGCAGCTCCAGCTTCTTCAGCTCCTCATTGTAGGCTTCCGGGTTCTCTCCATAATTCTTCAGGACAAACTGGAGAAAGGAGGGGAGTGTAAACCAGGGACAGAGACGCCCGGCTCCCTCTCCGTCCCTCACCCCGCCCCCGCCCCCCAATCTCACTATCCCCAGTCAGGGCTCAGGAGCCATCCACACCACAACCATCACCAGCTCAATTCCTGGGCCACCAGGAGCTCAGTCCCGGGGCAACACCAGGAGGCGGGCCACAGAGCTGCCTCCTCTGAGCACAGTGGACGGCCCTGCGTGAACCCCAGGCCAGTCCTCACCCCGCTGCAGCCTCTCTACGAGGCCCAGGACTCTGCCAGCTCAGGGGGCCCTGAGGAGCATCCCCAAGCAGGCCACAAGCCAAGCCTCCTTAGGATGGGACCCTGCTGTGCTCTGGTCCCAACCATAACCCTAACCCACAGTAAATGTAGACCAAAGGCGCCAAGCGAAGCCTCTTTCGCGCCCACGGTCCCGGCTGGGAAGGCCCCGCCGAGAGAGGTCTGCAGTGTCCCTGCTGGTGAGGAAAGGCCTATGGCTGGGCAGCAGGAATGACCAGACAAAGGGCAAAGGGAAGGTCAGGGCTCACACCCGAGAGGGAGCTGGCATGCCTGCCCAACACCACCTCAACTGCCCGCCTCGGAGGCCCCACCCACTGGCCTGGAGGCTCAGCAAGAGCCAATCAGAACCAATAGGGGTAGATTTGGTCAGGGGCACAGGCCTGGGTTGCGTGCAGGAGGCAGGTGATCCATGGTTCTCTCTCATCACTGACGTTTGTCTCTCTCCCTCTCTGAAAGCAATAAAAACATTTAAAAACCAGAAGAGCAGATGCACAGGAACCTGCCTCCTGAGCGGCTGATGCCACGGCAGGCGAAATGGCTCCTGAGCAGCTCTTCTCGGAGGCCGGGTTCTCCCGGAAGCCATGCTCACAGGACACCGTGTCGCCACCGTGAGCTCAAGGCTGACCCAACAGGCCTCTCCGGCCCTCTGGCTTCCGAGCCGGGATGCTCTCCCGGGTCTGAGCCGAGCGAGCCAGCATCGCAGGAGGCCACCTTTCCCCGGTGCCCGCCAGGGAGAGGGGCCCACGAGGCTGCGAAGGCAGGAGAGGCCTCGGGTTACTCGCAGTTGGGGGAGGAGGGGGTGCCACAGAGCAGCACAGACACCAGTCACAGGAAGAGGGTGAAAAGTGAGGGGTCCGGACAAGGGAAAGAACCGTACGGAGAAGTGGCCAAAGTCTGGGAAAGCCGTGGAACTTTAGGTGCGTTTTCTGGTTTTCAAAGTGAGGAAAAGGCCCGAGGTTCACCGATGGGCTCCAGAGAACACAAGCTGGCGTTTCTGAAGGAACACAGGGCAGAGTAGAGAGGAAACTACTCCCAAGCCCATTTCCTTTTTCTTTGAAATATATTTTTTATTGATTTTGGGGAGGAAGGGAGAGGGAGAGAAACATCGGTCAGAGAGAATCAGGGACCCTGCGCGCCCCTCCACTGGGGACAGAGCCTGCCACCAAGGTCCGTGCCCTGACCGGGAATCGAACCCTGACCTCCTGGTTCCTAGGTCGATGCTCAGGCCTGAGCCATCTGGGCCACCCGGCCTCCTGAGGGCCACGGCCTCCTGAGGGCCACGGCCTCCTGAGGGCCACCGCCTTTCTTCCTGCGGCCACTGCTTTTGTAAACACAGCTGAGGAGGCGGCGGCGCTGGTCCTCCCTCCTGCAGACGCGCAAGGCGCCCGGCGGCCCTTCGCCCGGCGCCCGTCGCAGGGCTCCCAGGCGACTTTTGCCCCCGATCTTGGGGTCACGGAGGCCCGCGCCAGCCCCGCCGCGTCCTCCGACCGAGTCCACCGTGGGGAGCGGGCCCCGCCGCAGCTCCCGCTGCTGGGCCCGGCGGCGGCTGCAAGCGGCGCCCGCCCGAGGGACACGCAGCCGTGCGGTGCGGCCCGGCCCGGCCCGGGGGCTCCGGCCCGGCGGCTCCGGCCCGGGCTCCCCCGGGAGGAGCGGACAGAAGTGCCCCGAGGCCCGGAGCCCCAGGGCCGTCTCACAACACGGAGGCCGGCGCCGGGGGCCGGGGCCCCACCCACCGGCTCCCCGGGCGGGTCCGGCGTGGACGGCGACCCGGGCGGCCCGGGCCGAAGTCAGACCGCGGCTCCCACGAGGCCGCGGTGCCGCCGGCGGAGGAGGAGGCCGGGCCGCCTGCGGCCTCCCTCGCGGGGCCTGAGGAGGGGACGGGCGCGCAGGGGCGTCACGCGCGGGCCGGCGGCGGAGACCGGAAGCAGCGGGAGGCGAGAGCGGCGCTCACCTTCTTCACGGCCGCCTGGAAGAGGAAGTCGCCGGCCTCCTTCAGGTCCAGCCAGATCATGGGCATGCGGGGCACGGCCTCCATGGCGGACGGAGCCCCGCCACCGCGCCGCTCCCCTCGGCCGCTCCAGCTGCTGGCTCAGCCGCGCGCACTGCCCCGCCCCTCCGCGCCGGAAGGCGGGCGTCACGCGGCGGAAGAACAGCCCGCACGGCCTTCTGGGAGATGTAGTCCCCGCCCGGCCCGCGCAGCCTTGCGCACATGCGCAGTTCTTCTCTCCGAGAAGAGGGCGAAGAGGCTTGCGAATCTCCGGCCCGACGCGAAAGGGCTTCTGGGAGTAGTAGTCTTCCTCCCTTAGCTGCTCGGAGGGCGCTAGCTGGTTTCTTCTGGGCCATGCAGACTCGCATGCCGAACCTCGGCCTAGCCGCCGGGACCGGAGCCAGCCGGGTAGCGGGTGGGGGACCAAAGGTAGCATTGCTGAGCGAGGAAAGGCGAGATTCGGGACGTGGGGCCCGGGAAGCAGTTTGGCCACGGGACACAAAGCCCAGGCCCGAGCATGAGGTCAGCAAGAGACGGGGATTAAGCAGTTGCTGGTCAGTGTGGACTGGAGCCGTCAGGAAGGAGGGGCCGGGGAGGAGGAGGCTCTCCTTGATCTTGCCATCTGGGAGGACCCGTGGAGGCAGTCGGTCCAGGCAGGTGGGGTGGGCGGAGGCTGCGGGCGCAAAGGGGGACCCTGGCCTGTCTCCAGATGGGAGGAGCCTGGATGGTCCTACCTCCTGAGCTTGTTGGGGCAGCTGTCCTTCCCCTTTTATAGAATGGGACCCCTCAGCCCTCCCGGCGCTCCTGGGGGTGGACTGCACAGACACATGCCTGTGAGGACCCTGGACGTTAGGGCTAGGGCTGCCATAGCAATGCGTCACCGGCTGCCCGGCCGGCTTAAGCAGCAGAAAATACTTTCCTCGCCCTTCTGGAGGCCACACGCCGGAGGGCAGGGTGTCACAAGCTGGGCTCCCGAGGCCCGGCTCCGTGGCTGGTAGGCAAACAACTGCCTGCGTCGTCACATGGCATTCCTTCTCGGCGTGTCCGTGTCCCAATAATCTCCCTGTGAGACCTGTTCACATAGGCACCTCTTTAAGGGTGTGTCTCAGGGGTGACACAGACATGCACCGAGCTCTCTGATTGGTCACTTCCCTCCCTGCCTTTCCTCTGAGCTTCCTCAGTCTGTCCATGCTTCCATGCCTCCTGACCCACTCGTTCATCAGTTTATTTAGTTCATGAGATTCCACCTATGAGCGAGAGCAAGTCTCTCTGACTGGCTTATTCACTTAGGGTAATGCTCTCCAGGCCACAGACAATAGGGTGGTGAAGGCCTGGGACGGGAATGGGCTAAAAGGGGTGGGGGGATGTACATAATATTTTCAACAATAAAGAATTTTTTAGCCGGGACCGGTTTGGCTCAGTGGATAGAGCGTTGGTCTGCGGACTGAAAGGTCCCGGGTTCGATTCCGGGCAAGGGCATGTACCTTGGTTGCGGGCACATCCCCAGTAGGGGGTGTGCAAGAGGCAGCTGATCGATGATTCTCTCTCATCGATGTTTCTGACTATCTATCCCTCTCTCTTCCTCTCTGTGAAAAATCAATAAAATATATTTTTTTTAAAGAATTTTTTTTAAAGAGTATCCACACAGAGTCCCATTCTGAGTTCCTGGGGCTGGGACTTCCCAGGAATTTGGGAGAGGTGGGGAGGGGCCACGTCACCTGGTGTGAGAGGCCCTGTGGGGAGGGCCTAGAGTGCAGAGGGAAGGGTGGGGAGGGGTCGGGGAGGGGCCACAGCGAGGAGGCCCGGAAGGTGTTTCCGCCCTGAGGCCTGGGCTGGGAGTTTGGGGAAACAGATTTGGGAGTAATGGGGAGGCGTGCACCCGCCACTAGGGGGCAGCAAACACCCATTCAGCCAAGTCATCATCTCCTCTCCATCAACCCCCAAACTGGGCGGAGCGGGGAGGCCTGGCAGATGCCGGTGTGGGGCGCCTGTGTCCACACTGCCGGGTTTGCAGCCGGTGTGTGTCCTCACGGGCGATGGGGCCACAGCCCTTTCTCCACCGACTTGGGCAAGGGCTGAGGCAAGCTGAGGCCCCGCCAGGCCGGAGCCTTGCCCAAGGGCCGCCGCTTCCTCCGCACAGCTGCCGCCTGGGAGCGCTTTCTGCCTCCACCTGCTCTCGGAGGCGCGGGAGCCTGGGACCGGGCAGGTCCACCGGCGAAGTGCGGTGCTGCCGGCTGAGCAAGCCTGTGGCCGGGCGCTCCCCTGAAGGCAGCCCACGTCCTGCTCCCTGCACCCTCCAGTGCCTTCCAGACCCTCACCTGCCTCCGGCCCCAATCTCGGCCCCAAGGCGGTCACATGCAGGGCGGGGCTGGGGGACCCTCCTCCTGGACGTGGGAATCCTGCCCTCCCCTCCCAGGCTCCAGGCCGGCTCCCAACAGACTCCCCTCAGCAGGCGGGGGCCAGCCAGCCCCACAGCCCCCACCGTAAAGGGCGGAGTGGAGGGGGCACCACCCTCGCTGATAGCCCAGCCCCTCCCAGCACCTTCCCTTGCCAGGTCTGTGCCTGAGCTCAGTTCTTTTTAAGAAATATATATATTTATTGATTGATTTCAGAGAGGAAGGAAGAGGGAGAGAAACATTGATGAGAAAAAACAATTGGCTGCCGCTGCATGCCTCTTCTGGGGAACAAGCCCACAACCCAGACAGGTGCCCTGACCTGGAATCAAACCCGGGACCCTTCAGTCCGCAGTGCCACGCTCTGTCCACTGAGCCACACTGGCGAGGGCTGAGTGAGGATATTTTGAAAGATTTACAAATGGACATCAAGCACGGGCAATATGATTTTTCTTGTGCTTGATGTCCATTCGTAAATCTTTCAAAAAATCCTCACCCACCCCTCACCAGTGTGGCTCAGTGGATAGTGTTGGCCTGCGGACTGAAGGGTCCCGGGTTCGGTTCTGGTCAAGGGCATGTTCCTTGGTTGCGGGCACATCCCCAGTAGGGGGAGTGCAGGAGGCAGCTGATTGATGTTTCTCTCTCATTAATGTTTCTGACTCTCTATCCCTCTCCCTTCCTCTGTGTAAAAAAAAAAAAAAAAATCGATAAAATATATACATTTTTTAAAAAGCATACTGCCCATCCCAGCAGCTGGGAGTCCTGACCCCAGCCTCCCAGCCGGGTCCGGGGAGCAGCCAGGAGTGGGGGGGGGACAGTGAGGTCTTCCTGGGCGGCTGCCGCTGTCACGGCCACGAGGGACGGACGGTGAGCCGTGGATGGTCAGATCGTAGGGCTTTTACAAAGTCAGGGCCAGGTTTCAGAGGCTGACCCCCACTTATAAAACCTAACGTCGTGGACGTCACCCTGGGCCCAGCCGCAGAGGAGACCACCTCTGTGTGCACGTGGCCGAGGAGCTGCTGCACACAGAATTGTGTTCCGGAAGGTTCTGGCAGGCGGAGACGGCCTGGAGTCCTGCCGGTCAGAGCCGAGGCGGCCTCCGGTGGCACTGGAGGGGACATGGAGGCCCGGAGGGAAGGGGCTTGCCCCAAATCAGCCGGGTCTCCTGCCCCCGGCTCCGGGTTCTCCCCCCACTCTGAGGCCCGGACCCGTTGCCCAAACCTGCTTGCTTCTTAGCCAACGGCATTTCAGAACGTTGGCCAACCGTGGTGCCCGGCCAAGGAAGGGAGCGGCCCGGTGTCACCAGCAGCCCTTGGGCAAGGCAGCCCCGCAGCGCCTAAAAGGGCGGCCAGCGGCGGGCCGCGGCGGGGCCATGGCGGGGGCCTGGAGGGCACTGGTGCTGGTGGCGGGCTTGGCGGCGGCGGTGGCCTGTGTGGCCCAGCGCCAGCCGGGCTTCGAGGAGAGGCTCATCAACCAGGCCCTGCAGCTCTTCAACGCCGGGAGGCAGGGCCAGCCCCTCTTCCGCCTGCGGGAAGTCCTCCCGGCGCCCAGATCGGTGAGCGTCCGCGGCCCCAGCCCCGGAGGCCGGACACCGGCCCGTGGCAGCCCGGGAGGGGCCGGGCGGGAGGTTAACGAGCTGTTAGGGGGCCGTGTCTGCACCCGGAGCTATGGAAGGGTCGTCTCTGGCCGGGCAGCGGGCTGGCCAGGAGGTCTGGGGCCTCGCCAGGCAGGAGCCGGCCTGCCGGAAGGCGCGCAGGAGGAAAAGGCCTGGTCTCCCCGGGCCTGGCAGGGGCTTCCCGCCCTCCCGCCCCGTGGCCTCTCGGGCAGGCAGCTGAGCCTGCAGGGCCGGCACTCGCTCTTTAACTTCTCCTTTTGTTTAAAGGGTTACACAGTGTCACATAGGTCTCCTTTCCCCCTGACACCCCATGCCCCCAAGGCTGGTGTTCTTCAGTCGGTTTTCTCTCATCCTCACCTGAGGCTATTTTCCCCACTGCTTTTCCTGGGAGATGAGAGGGAGCGAGGGCGGGAAATGACGCCGCCAGAGAGCCACTGTCCTGCACCTCCAACCACTGAGCCGCTGCGGAGGCAGGGCGGGTGTTCTTGTTCCTGTTCCAGCTCCGAAGTGGCCGCTGCGGCCGGCCTCCGGAGCCCCGTCCCGCTGCCGAGGAGGCCCGGCCGGGGAGAGCGGACCGGCTCAGCCCTCCCCGGCAGCTGTGACCGCCTCGGCTCCTCGGTGGGGCTGACCGGAGCTGCTCTGGCCTCGCAGAACTCCACCTTCCAGACGCTGGTGAGCTTCCGGGCCCAGGAGACCGTGTGCCTCGCCGGGCGGCCGGAGCCCCAGCGGTGCGCCTTCAGGGAGGGCGGGGTGAGTCTCCGGCCCCGCAGGAGCCGGGTCCCCTCCTCTCCCTCCTCTGCGCCAGCCTGGCGGGTGTGCATGTGCGTGTGCGTGTGCGTGTGCGTGTGCGTGTGTCTGTGTGTGTCTGTGTGTGTCTCTGTGTGTGTGTCTTTATGTATGTCTGTGTGTGTGTATGTCTCTCTGTGTGTCTGTGTGTCTATATGTGTGTGTGTGTCTGTGTGTGTCTGTGTGTGTCTCTCTGTGTGTGTCTTTATGTATGTCTGTGTGTGTGTATGTCTCTCTGTGTGTCTGTGTGTGTG